ACAATGTCGCGTCTGCTTGCGTGTCACAAAAAGTGTGGACTTCAATGGGTTGAGGACGCTCCCCAAAAGTAACACACTTACGTAAGATCTAGGGTTCCCGTGCAGAAAACGCTTAGGGTGGGCTGCCAAGGATTGTCACGTCAATGAACCAGCAAGGACACAATGCCAGCCAGGACCCCAACCTGGACAGTATTCCAGCACCTGTGGCGTTCTTGCAGCAAACACTGATGAGATGGGACTGGATCCATAACTGGCACGTGCAGCACAGTGTCAAGCAAGACTCGTTGCCACGTAAGCCTCGCCACGACCGAGGAGATTCACACGTATCCTCATTCACGTCACATACACAAGAATATTCCTTTTCAGGAGGATCTTTGTCGTCGACCTCAATTGAGGCATCCACACTGGCCAATCACGAGCCTCTCGTGGATTACACTGTTGCAAACAGAGGTGTTCAGCAAGCACAACTCATCATGGTTTCTGTTTGGTAGGTTGGTTGATACACTGATAAATACGTGTAAAACGATATCATTTCCATTAAATACGAATGATCTATAATGCCAGGAAAATGTGTTACTTGCATTTCAGCATCATCCTGTATATACTGGAAACATTTATATTTATAAAAAAGTTGTAAACCATTGCCTCACGTATGGTAGCAGAGTATCAAGTGAAGACCAAGTTCTATATACATGACCAAGATTTTTTCTAGCTCATCCTGCTCCTGGCAAATAATATGAAGACCAGGTGAAGTTAATGAGACATCTAATAAAGCGTTATAGGCTCCACATCTCGTGCAAATAGCAGCAGCTTGCGTGGGGCTCAGTAACTCGCAAGTGTCGCCTGAATTTGCGGCCAGCACTGTGGACAGCCCCTTTGGGGTACACAGCACAGTGTAGCTTCCCCAGATTTCTCCGCCGTCCCTTTGACAAATCTCGGACCTCGGCCTCCCCTAGCACATCACTTGTCACCCCTTCCTCTTGCACCCAAGCTCGCTACGATCTAGATTTCTTGACCACCGCCAAAAACGGCGTTGACAGTCGGGGATGGCTGATCCTACAGAGTCTTTCGAAGCCGCCATGAGGTGCCAGGGCCGGCGCCTACTAAGAACAAAGCGGCTCCAGCCGCCCCAAATCGCGTCAACCGCGTGGAGTCGTCCGCGCGGTATAAAATACCGTTAAACCCGCCAGTCTCATCATCGATCAAGGCTACATCGAGATTCACGTCAGCGATCTGTTTCCTGGCTGGATACTTTTCCGGGTTCAAGCCAATTTATTACACCGAAATAGGCAAACAGCTTACAGAACTCCTCCAAGACTAACGCAGGTCATGGCTCGTTCATACCTCCCCCTCCTCCTCCTTGCCGCCCTCCTCATCGCAATAGCAGCATCGTCAGCAGCTGAAGCAGCACCAGCAGTGAGCATCAGGGGAAGCGCCAGCGCCGCGGCAAGCGCTGCGGTTCGCACCGGCGCCGCTGCCGGCAGGCGCGCAGGGCGCGGGTTCGGATTAGGTCTGGGCGTTAGCGGATGCGTTTCGCTCGGAATTGGCATCGGCGGCGGCCGCGGCGGCAGCAACGGACGGCCTTGCAAAGACAATCGGCGTGGCAGTAGCGGCGGAAGCAGCGGCGGTGGCTCCTCAGGCGGCTCCTCAGGTGGTTCTTCAGGCGGTTCTCCTGCATGTGACCATGGCAAGTGTGACGATAACGCGGGATCGCTGGACTACTGGCAAATCCCTAAGCACAGCGAGTGTGCGAGCAAGGCAGCAGCTGCGGGCGGCGTGGCAGTGCCTGTGGACGCAGATAAGGCGTGGTGCGTGGGGGGCAGCGACACGGAGATCTTATACGCGGGGAACTGCTGCGATATGTGCAAGAGCACCAATGCGACTGCCTCTGGGGATCCGTTCAACTGCCGATTCTGGGTGCACATCCCGTGAGTAGCACATTCCGTTAGTAGCACATTACATTCCATTAGTGAAACATCCTATTAGTACACCCACGCGAGGTTCGTTGCTCATTTTCCGTCCTGCCTTTTTTAGTTTTTTTCTGAGTTCAAGTGTATCCACTTAAACACATTTCTCTCTTCGCTTTCATCGCTATGAAATCTTTCTTTTTTTCAGCCGTCCATCAACTCTATGTTCCAACGTTCGCAGCTCGCCTTTCTTCCCCCCTCCCCTCCATTCCTCCCTTACCACTCCCTTCCCCCTCAAACTGCACCCCTGTTGTGCTCTCCAGATCCAACGGCTCCTGTGTTCTGATCCCATCGATCGACGGTCTCCAGCCCATCAAATCCAACCTCACCAGCGCAACCAGCGCAACCAGTGGGCCCAAGGTCCGCGTTGGCAAGCGGTGCCCGTTCGGGGAGAACGACCCGCACTTCCTGGGCGCGCACGGCACGCGGTTCGACTTCAACGGGCTGCCCGAGAAGAACTTCTGCCTGTACACGGACCGCGCGGTGCACGTGAACATGGGCATGCGCGGGTACCTCGACTCGCGCTCCACGCTCAACTCTCACGCCCTCGTCGTCAACGGCTCTGCCGTGCGCACCTGGATCCGCCAGCTCGCCCTCATGTGGACCGACAATGTTGACAATGTTGACAGCGCTGACAACACCGTGTCCGCTAAGCCCGCCTCCCACTCGCTGCTGCTCACGGCGCGCGACGGCAAGGAGCAGCTCCGCGGCGAGTCTGGGTTCCTCGCTTCGGCGGAGCTCGACGGCACGCCTCTCCCCCGCCTTGCTCCCGGTGAGACGCGCAACCTGGCCGGCGGCAAGGTGCTTTTGGAGTTTGTGGGAGAGGAGAAGACCGGGCCATACGACGTGGACCACTATTATCTGAGCATTAAGGGGCTCCTGGAGTTGGACCTGAAGCTGCGCCCCGCACACCCTCTGCTGCAAACACCTGACGACGCCCAGGTGCACATTAATGTGATGTTTCAGGAGGCCAGTCCGAGCAGCAGTGTGCACGGCGTGATGGGGCAAACGTACCGCAGCGGCAGGGAGGCGCGCACGATGGAGTTCTCTCGGCTCGCTGCCATGCTGCACCACCCCGTGTCTGCCGATGGCGCGGAGGGCAAGGGCTTCCTGGACGGGCACGTGAAGGACTATGAGACCAGCGCTGTCACCGCCACTGACTGCCGCTACTCCGCCTTCAACGGCCAAAAGCTGCCTGTTTCTGCTTAGAATGTTGTACGTGCTGTATGCTACTGTCAGGTGAATGCGGAGGGTTGGGGGGAGGGGGCTGTGGTCGGGAAGGGATTATGAGACCAGCGCCGTCACCGCCACTGACTGCCTCTACTCCGCCTTCAACGGTCAGAAGCTGCCTATCTTGGCGTAGAGTAGAGGGCAGGAGGTGCCCCTGGCACCTGCCTTGAAGCGGACGGGATGGGTGGTGGTTTGGTGAAGTGTTGTGGAGTAGGGCTTGTTTGGTGGTGTGCATGTGTGGTTATGTGGGGTTAGTCGGTACTTTGGGAGCATACGGTGGAATGCCCGGGACCAGGAGCTTTTTCTGTTTCTGTGTGGGGATGTGTATGGATGCTGCGAGTGGCTGCAAGATTGTACAGCAGGGAGTATGTTCTCACTTCCTGTTGTAGGCTCTTACAACCACTAGAACTCGTGCTTGGATGTACATTTCAAGTATTTAATGCTATGCTCCCTTTATTCGCAACAGAGGCTTGCAACGAAGTGTTGCAAGAAATCTATGCAAAGCTACCCTTACAATGCAGCCATGGGCTGTACTGCTAAGACGGATTTAACTCTATGCCTACCATCTGACCACACCAGTTCTCCAAATGAAAACTGGTTAGTGTTTTTCTTTGGAGTCAGCTTCACCTGAAATGTAACCGTTTGCTTAGGCAATATCGTGAACTGCGACGGTGTAACCTGGACGTCCACATTCGTAGGCATGCGAACCTGCGCTTGGTAGGTTTGCGCCTTCGCCGTAACACTCGTGACAGTTCGCGTCACGGTAACCACGTTCGTCAGTCGCGAAACGCATATGTTAGGCTGGTTCAGACTCCACGGCTTGATCGGCGACAGCTTCTTCGCCGGAAACGCCTTGGTCGCAGCAGCCATGTTCACACCTGCGAGAAAGTTGAAGTAACCATTTCGGCCAACGTTGTAAACCAACCCTGGATCGAGCATCGCCGTAGTATTTATATGCCCAGATCCGTAATTCCAGGGCGTCGCAGTTGTTCCCGAAAACGTTCGCATGACCCCTCCGCGATTATTCAGGCGATAGGCTGTCGTCATTATCGCCGATTTAATCGCCGCGGGTCGCCAGTTGGGGTATTTTTGAATTATCAGCGCCGCGATTCCCGCCAATTGGGGAGTAGACATCGACGTGCCGCTTTTCATGTCGTACCACGCGTCTTTCGCGGTCCCGCCAGGAGCAGCAGCTACTAGATCCATTCCCGGCCCAGTAACATCTGGTTTTAGGATGTCGTTAGTTACTTGCAACGTGGCGGGAGGCGGCCGCGAGGGGTTCAGCGGCGGTCCCGCCGAGGAAAACGGCGCGATCACCGGCGCCTCGTAAACGGCTTGAAGGGTCCGGGGCCGAGAGGCATGGGAGACGAATCCGCGTTTAGATGCTGCTGATGCTGAATCACCCTCTGGTACATACGACGAATTATCTCCGTAAGCAGCGGCTGTAGCGTCGGTTGTAGTGGCGGCGGTTGTAGCGGACGAGTCGGCTGCGCGCGCGCGGAAGAGCATGGCGGCATCGTGGTCCGTGGTGCTGGCGGCGACGGTGAGATAGAAAGGCGACGTGTTGCTGATGGTGCGGTACGTGCCTCCCTGACCTGGCGGCCCCGCGTTACCCGCCGCTAGGGTTACGAACACGCCAGCCTGCGAAGGGGAAACGGGAAGGTTGCATTCTGAGATAAGGTAAGGGCCTGTGCAGGCAGTGCGAACTCTTGCCAGCTCCCTGCCTTGCCTTTGCAAACTTGTCTCCTGGAAATTTCACCTTTGATCGTACTCAACAGCACCTCATGATCAGGTGTGGTAGTGTCAGGTGTGGTAGGGTGTCAGGTGTGGTAGTGTCAGGTGTGGTAGTGGTGTGGTAGTGTCAGGTGTGGTAGTGTCAGGCGAGGTAGTGTCAGGTGTGGTAGTGTCAGGCGAGGTAGTGTCAGGTGTGGTAGTGTCAGGCGAGGTAGTGTCAGGTGTGGTAGTGTCAGGCGAGGTAGTGTCAGGTGTGGTAGTGTCAGGTGTGGTAGTGTCAGGTGTGGTAGTGTCAGGTGTGGTAGTGTCAGGTGTGGTAGTGTCAGGTGTGGTAGTGTCAGGTGTGGTAGTGTCAGGTGTGGTAGTGTCAGGTGTGGTAGTGTCAGGTGTGGTAGTGTATCCAGGTCTTACCTCAGCTGCTCTCAACAGAGGCAGGTCCCCAAAGTAGGTATCTTCGCCCGACCCGATGCTCATGGAGAGCACATCCACACCGTCCGCGACGGCCTGATCAACGGCTGCAAAGATGTCGCAGTCGTGGCCGTACCCCTCTGACGCGTTGTACCAGAGCGCCTTGTACACCGCCAGCCTGCCACGTGGCGCCATGCCACTGGCCGTCCCGATCGGCGTGCCGTCCCGTTCAGTCAGCACCACCCCGCTGTTGCCCACCGCCGCTCTGTTTGTGGGGAAAGGGGAAAGGAGAGACGGGTTGAGGGGATGGGTGCAAAGGAAGAGAGGAGGAAGGGGAGAGAAGAGGGAGGCAGAGAGGTAGCAGGATGGGAGGGTTGAGTTGAGGGGAATGCTGGGAAGAGGGTAATGAGTCGATTTTTGAGTCGACTCAAAAATGGGAGAGTTGAGTTGAGGGGAATGCTGGGAAGAGGGTAATGAGTCGATTTTTTAGTCGACTCAAAAATGGGAGAGTTGAGTTGAGGGGAATGCTGGGAAGAGGGTAATGAGTCGATTTTTTAGTCGACTCAAAAATGGGAGAGTTGAGTTGAGGGGAATGCTGGGAAGAGGGTAATGAGTCGATTTTTGAGTCGACTCAAAAATGGGAGAGTTGAGTTGAGGGGAATGCTGGGAAGAGGGTAATGAGTCGATTTTTGAGTCGACTCAAAAATGGGAGAGTTGAGTTGAGGGGAATGCTGGGAAGAGGGTAATGAGTCGATTTTTGAGTCGACTCAAAAATGGGAGAGTTGAGTTGAGGGGAATGCTGGGAAGAGGGTAATGAGTCGATTTTTGAGTCGACTCAAAAATGGGAGAGTTGAGTTGAGGGGAATGCTGGGAAGAGGGTAATGAGTCGATTTTTGAGTCGACTCAAAAATGGGAGAGTTGAGTTGAGGGGAATGCTGGGAAGAGGGTAATGAGTCGATTTTTGAGTCGACTAAAAAATGGGAGAGTTGAGTTGAGGGGAATGCTGGGAAGAGGGTAATGAGTCGATTTTTGAGTCGACTAAAAAATGGGAGAGTTGAGTTGAGGGGAATGCTGGGAAGAGGGTAATGAGTCGATTTTTGAGTCGACTCAAAAATGGGAGAGTTGAGTTGAGGGGAATGCTGGGAAGAGGGTAATGAGTCGATTTTTGAGTCGACTCAAAAATGGGAGAGTTGAGTTGAGGGGAATGCTGGGAAGAGGGTAATGAGTTGATTTTTGAGTCGACTCAAAAATGGGAGAGTTGAGTTGAGGGGAATGCTGGGAAGAGGGTAATGAGTCGATTTTTGAGTCGACTCAAAAATGGGAGAGTTGAGTTGAGGGGAATGCTGGGAAGAGGGTAATGAGAGCCGACAGCAAAAGACATATGAGTGGGATGCCAAGGGCGGAGAGATCAGAGACGCGACAAGGCCGACCGTCTGCCGTCTGCCGTACTATCACAGTTAGGCTCTTCACACCACGTACTCCCCCCCCCTCCGCCCCTCCGCCCCTTCCTCCCTCTCTTTCCCCCATGACTCACCCCGCACACCAAGTGCCGTGGCCGCCGGCGTCTCTAGCAGAACGGTACTCCCCCGAAGCGATCTTGCCGTACTCGCGCTCGTACGCGGAGAGGAAGTAGCGCGCCCTGCACACCACGTGCACCCGCCTCCCCCTCAACTCATGACTCACCCCACACACCACGTGCTCCCTCCAATGTGTGTACACGTGCTTGCCCGCTCATCATTATTCTTATGTGGCTTGGCATGACATTGCCCGCTCATCATTAGTCCCCCAACCCCATTGCTCACTCACCCCGCACACCAAGTGCCGTGGCCGCCAGCATCCCTGGCAGAGCGGTACTCCCCCGGCGCGATCTTGCCATACTCGCGCTCGTACGCGGAGAGGAAGTGTCGCGCGCCCACCACCTTGCCGTTGCACTTCTTCAGCCCCGTGCACGCCCCCTTCCAGTGCTTGGGTGGGGGCCCGTAGCCCTATGAAAAGGGAGGGGAGGGTGTCAGGAAAGGGAGTGCTGTTTATGAGGTGTGCCCACCGCCTTGCCGTTGCACTTCTTCAGCCCCGTGCACGCCCCCTTCCAGTGCTTGGGTGGGGGACCATAGCCCTGCGAAAGGGGAGGAGGGGGTTCAAGGCGCATGCGGGAGGGTCAGGGGGTAAGAGAAGGCTCCTTTTCACCCGCGCTCGTAGGCGGACAGACAGTAGCGCGCGCCCACCACCTTGCCGTTGCACCTCTTCTGCCCCGCACACCCCCTTCCAGTGCTTGGGCGGCGGGCCGTAACCCTGCAGTGGAGGAGGGAGGTCAGGGAAGGAACAGCCTGTTTAGTGGTCACCTGGAAAACTGAACCACATCATCTCCCCCCGTTCGCCGCCCAACGGCTGACTAATTTGACCACTCGATTGTTTTCCCCCCCGTACCTGATTCGCGAAGGACGGGTGTTCGGGCCAAATGCCCGTGTCGAGAATCCCCACCACCACGCCCTCCCCCGCGCTCATCTTCCCCCCGTTCGCCTCCCACGCGCCCTTGGGCGCGCCGAGCTTGAGGAAGCGCGGGGAGTACGTAGTGAGCGCGCGCACCTTGCGCCCGCGCGCCACACGCCCCACGTCCGGGCGCGTGCGCAGCTGCTGCGCCTCTGTGGGGGTGAGTTCCGCGCAGAATGAGTTCGCGGCGAAATTGTAGCTGAGGGGGGAGTAATGAGGGAGAAAAAAGACGGGGAGAACGAGAGGACTTAGGCAACGAAGCGCGGAAAGAGGGAGTAGGGAAGGTGAGACGTACACATGAGCATATGTCACGTCATAACGTACACATGCCATGTCATCATGTGCATGTGCCACGTCATACCTGTACACCATACTGCTCGACGCGACACCGACGGAGGTGAGAGTTCGCTCGTGCAGCGAAGTCAGGTGCTGCGCGTACGCGCGCACATGCGGGTCGTCCGCGCGCGGGCGCAACTGCCGCGGACCCCGCCCCTTCCGCGCGTTCTCCCCCATGACCCCCGCGCTCCCCCGGGGCGTCCGGCCGGGGGAAGGCTCCTCGTCCTCCGCCACCGCCGTCGCCGTGAGTCCCGCGATCCCTCCCTTGTACGCGACGACCGGCGGCGCGGACGTCATGTGCACGAGATACAGCCCCTTGCCCGCGCCTGGCGCTGCCGTTGCGACGCCTGAAGGACGGAATTGCAGTGGTGTAGGCGCGTTGCGGCCAAGTTTTGGGTGAAAATTTACCATCTTGGGCCGTTTTACAGGAAGCAGCACTCGTGCATGCGATGCAGAATATATTCGGAATGCCATCGTCTGAACATGGCAATGCATGCAACAGCAGGGTCTGTGAAATACGGGCATCGCAACCCGCCTTGTGCGATTTCGATAATAATAATAATAATTATTATTATTATATATATATAAAAAAAGAGCATTCGGAATTTACCTGACAATCCGTCTGCGGCACTTATGTGATTGGTGAGAGCTAAACAGTATGCGAAAGGCGCATCAAATGTCGCTCCTGGTAGTACGACACAACCATGAAGTCAACCGCAGCAGCACCGTCGATTCGACTAGAAAGCGCACCTATTATGAAGCATGCAGCCGTGAAGAGGAAGCAACAAGCGATCCTCTCCTCGCGCCCGCCATGCAGTCGACGTCCGCTATGCCTCCCATGGCTCCCCATCTGAGACCCGTTGGTTCTTGAAATTTCTCGAGAACCAACTGGGTTGAGTGCTTCGAAACGAGGCTTTTCTGTTAGCCGCAAGCCGCAAGTGGTCGTCACTGAAGCGGCTTGCGCCGAGACACCTCCTGCTAGCCTCGCTGCTTGTAGAGGATTGAGGGCCGAGAGAGCTGACGAGGAGTGAGCAGGATCGAGAAAGACCACCAGGGATTTTATGTTGAAATCGCTTCTTAGTCTAAGGTACAATCACCTCGCATGCGACATGGACTAAGGAGACCGCGGGAGAATCCGATAAAGGCGGTTGCACTGGGGGCGGGGCGGGTTGTCGAGCTACCGCAGCATGCAGAGAGTACGGGGATGGTGGAAAGAATGAGGACGGCGCTTCTTTATCTCTTTTTCTTGCAGCTGGTATTTCTTTTGGACACGACTTTTGGACTTCTTTAATGGCCAAGGCTGGCTGAGACGGACCGAGAGAGCGAGGTAAAAGTGGATTCGAAGAAGTATTAGGCTCCTCAAAATCCTGTCGGTGAGTAGGTATGGCTCACCTAACTTAGGCTGCATAGACAAAACTACTTTTCCCTGTGCGATCCAACAACCACCACCATCACGCGTGCACAAACTCAAATAGCGGGCGCGCACGAGTGCAGCCATGCAGGAACTAGTTTCGCGACGCGACGTGGGACGCACTAGAGTCACACAAACAACACAAGCCAAGGGCTGGGCTGGCCGACCGTCTCGAACAGTTGCGGTTGTTGGTAGGGGGAAGGAAGGAGGGCCATGAAGAGTCGGGTCGGGTCGGGGCGCTATGTCAAACCCAGGGCTGGGCGTTTGCAGGAGCAAAGTCCAGTGATGACCAGCTAAGGGGCGCTGCGAGTGTTCCTCCCTAATTTGATTCTTGCAGCTGGATGGGTAGCACTGGGATAGGTGGTGGTCAGGTCACCCCAATGATCATGTTTTCCGCATAGAAGCATGCCTTCATTCGCATGACTTGCAGCGGGGAATGACAAGTCCAACATGAATGGGATGGGGTGGGATGCGATGGAATGGCACAGGATGGGAGGGGGCCTGAAGTGTGCGTCAAAAGGGGCCGAATTTCGTTCGCCGCCAAACGACGACATTTGAGGAGGAACGAGATTTCGAACCGCGTATGCGAGGCGCGGTGCGAATAGCGATGGAGGATCGAAACACTGCGTGCTAATTGGAGAAGCTCTGTGACTACATTGCATGTGACTAACAAATATTTCTACTCGAGATCGCGGGAACCAAAAGATGACTGTTTCCCAAGCAGAAGTACTGGGAGATATATTGCACTGCGTGCGTCAGCACGCAGTGCAATGAGTCAGCGGGCAAGGAAAAAAATAAAACCCACTCGGAAGGCATGCCATTCGGGAGGGATCAACCCTAAAAAATTAGGGTTGAGGCTCCCGAATGGCATGGAGTCCGAATGGGTTTTTTCCTGCCCGTGGTCAGCATGCTGACTCACTCGGTAGCGTCGTCTAGCGGAACGGTAGCGCTACCGAGCGCTACCGACGCTATCAAGTGTAATATATTGGATACACTATTCCACGCATTGTGCGAGGGGCTACGTATGCTCTGGATGCTACAGCTATCATGCCACAATTATCATGACATACAATCATTTTTACGATAACAAAGGCTAGGCCTTCGATGAAGAATAATATTCTGGTGTGTTGAGCCTCCCTTCGTATATGCCTGATTATATCGTATACTATTCACTTTAAAATATCAAACCAAATGGCCAATTGTAAATCCATGCTATGTTGTGCAAACGGGTATTGCAGTATGTTACGGATAATAAAAGTTGAAAGTTAACTGTGCAGGAAATGAGATTGGACTAGGAACAAGGAGATACATCATACAAGTATGAAACCCTAAATGGGGTTGTACTCTATAGTCAGCACTCTTAGAAGCTAGGCGTCAATGGGTGTCGACTATCGAGATGGATGGTACAAAGGAAATCAGCCTAAGGGGTTGTACCCTACAGTGTGTACCCCACTAAGCCTACCCAAAATATAACATACGGTAGCTATACATATGATTGACACACCCCCATCGGCAGAGTGGGGGAGAACATAGGGTCACAAGACCAGTCAGGAAGTGCAAAGCAAGCTCAGGGTGGATCACAACGTCACCACGCAGTCTGAGCACAAGCAAGAAGGCCACAAGGCCAGTTCACATGCAGAGATATATATGTAACAACAACAGTACAGTGAAATCTACCTACAAGAACAAGCATGCAGGAATACATATAAATCATGGTACAAACAAAGCCTACAGCAAGTGAGGAAGCGTGCGCACAAGGCCTAACAAAGTGCAGAAATGCTGATGATCACCAGGCGGAAGTGCCTTGGTGAATATATCAGCACTGTTGGCCTGAGTGGCCACGTAGGTAAGACGAAGCTGGCCACGCTGCTGCAGCTCTCGAGCAAGAAAGTAACGGAGAGCGATGTGCTTCGTTCTGTGCTCCAGTCTGTGCTCCTGACACAAGGCAATGGCGGCCTTATTGTCGACGTACAGCACTGGAGGAGAACGAGGCCGCTCTCCCAAGTCAGTCAGCAGGTAGGTGAGCCAGCGAAGCTCCTGTGCAGTCATGGCTGTGGCGTAGATCTCAGCCTCACAACTGGAGCCGAGAACTGAAGACGAGCGTGTGGAACGCCAAGAAACTGAACCAGAGCCAAGGCTGAAGGTGTAACCCTGTGACGACCGCTGCGTAGCCTGGTCGTCAACCCAAGAGGCGTCCGAGTGACCAGTGAGGACAACGTCACCCCGTCCTCCAAGCACGAGCCCCATGCCCGATGTACTGCACAAGTAGCGTAGTACCCTCTTGGCAGCATCCATGTGCACCTTTCGGTGCCGACCAGGAGCCACGTAGCGAGCCAGAAGGCCAAGAGGGTACGCAAGGTCAGGACGAGTGCAAGTCATCAGGTACATGAGGCAGCCTACTAACTCTGCGTAAGGACCACTCGGCTCTACGGACTCGTCCGAAGGTGGAGCTGAGAGCGAGTGATCTGTAGCCAGAGGAGTGGCCTGTGCTGAGGACCAGGTGAAACCGAAGCGCTGAAGGACCTGCTGCACCATGTGTGACTGAGTCAGTGTGATGGTGCGGCGTGCTCTGTCCCGGGTGATCTGCAAGCCAAGGTAGCTGCGCAGTTCACCCAGGTCTGTGCACGTGTGTCTCTTCTGCAGCTCCGACTTCACCAGGGCGAGAGCCTCAGTGTCAGCAGTGGCAAAGACCAAGTCGTCGACGTACACGAGAACGTAGAACGGCGGCAGCGAAGTGTCGGTGCGCAAAAACAGCGACGGGTCAGCAGTCGACGGAGCAAACCCAAGAGCCGCAAGTGTCGTCCTCAGTGTGTCGTGCCACTCACGTGGCGCCTGGCGGAGACCGTAGACCGGCCGCCGGAGGCTCCACTGGGTACCAGGAGGGAACGACCCAGTGAAGCCAGGAGGGCGGCGCAACCAGATCTCCTCGTGCAGGCTGCCCTGTAAGAAGGCTGTGCTGAAGTCAAGAGAGTGAAACTCCTAGTCACGCTGAGCGGCAACGTGCAGCAGCACCCGAAGAGTGGTCATCTTCGGGGTGGGGGAGAAGGTCTGGAAGAAATCAACTCCCTCTCGCTGACTGAAGCCTCGAGCCACGTAACGAGCCTTGAAGACAGGCGGAGAACCTGGCGGCCGCTTCACCCTGAAAATCCACATGCCACTCACAATGTTCGCCCCAGGAGGGGGAACCTCGTTGACGTAGGTGCCTGTGGACTTCCAGGATGCCATCTCTGCATCCATGGCTATCTGCCACTGAGAGGAGTACTCACCCGCGATCGCCTCAGCGTAAGAGCGCGGGGTCGGGATGTCTGGTGCATCCGGGTCTCCCTCAGGGGCAAGCAGCATGGATACGAGATGAGGCGCAGCAGCTGCAAGACACTCAAGGTCCTCCTGCCTGTCCTCAAGGACGTCCGTGCCAAGAGCACACTCACCCCCGACGGACGGAGGACAGACAGACGCAGACTCAGCAACAAGACCGGCGGCGTAGTCTAGACGACAGTGAGCAGCAAAGGCAACAAGCTCAGTGACCAAGGCAGACGCAGCAGCAGACTCAAACGACGGGTCAGTGACAACAGTGGCAAGCAGACGCGTGACAGTAGAGTGCTCAGCACGAAACCGGTCAGACGCAGGGTCAGCAACGACAGGCAGAGAGGACGCAGGGGGAGGCGGCAGAGGAACACGCGGTGAAGGAGAGGAAGGACGACGAACTACAAGGGGAGGGCCGGAGACAGCCGGCTGGCACTGACGAGGAACACGACGACCGGGACTGACAGGGGAGACAGGACGCGACACAGGCTCACGACGCTCTGCAAGGCCACCAGGCTGCTCTGTGTACGGAGAAGGAGCAGGCAGCGGTGAGCCAGGCTGTAACGGAAGACCAGTAGACGAGGGAAGACTGAGAACCTGGCGAAGTGCAGAGTCAGGTGGTGGCTGAGACGACGAAGACGGCGGAGCAAAGAACAGGCGCTGCTGAGCAGTGCCACCAGCAGCTCCAGCACCTCCA